AAAACTAAAGGAAAATTCATTGTAAAGGAGCCTTTTTAGTTGTCTTGGTAGCTGCAGTCCAGGGATAGATGTATTTTCTGCTCTGTCCTTTTTCCTTATGGATTTCTGCAACAGTTTAAACACTATCACAATAATGGTTTCACTGTTTTATCAGTTCTTCTGTCTAAATAGAGTCCATTAACATTTCAAACTGACCCCTCACACTAGCGATGACAACCCAGCGATTCTGTCCCTGTCTACCTAAACAGACCCAGTCTGCAGCAATGGTTGGGTGACCAAATTCATCGTAACCAGAGGCCGTGTGTCTGGAAGTCTGTTTATGTGGTCTCAGGATCCTGTAATGTAGTGCAGTGTAGTGTAGCCGCAGCAGAGGGTCCCCTGGCAAGCATACGGCACGGCGATTAACAGGGCAGGTTCTGGAGTCACGCAGCATGAATGGCGTCTCTGCCACCTACAAACTGGGCGATCCGGATGAAGTCAGTTAACCTCCTTGTGTCTCACAGTCTTCACTTAGGAGCTGGACCCCATGGCACCGCACCAAGAGGGCAGTTGTGAAATTTGAAGAATTTATAATAACAGTTCTGTCTTCTACAGTCACATTCTGGACTATTCATGAATGACATGAAATCTGAGATTTGCTTCAAAACAATCTGGAGGTCCTTCAGGTATGTAAAAAGAATTGGCCATGAGTTGATCATTATTGAAGTTGGATGGTGAACACCTGGGGGTTTATATACCATTCTATCTACTTCTGTCTGTTTGAAAATGACTATAATACAAGTTTTAAGAGACAGAAGATAATACACTGAAACTGTCCACATACAATATGTGTTTCATAAACATAATCTGTCAGAGATCAGGGAGGGCCTTGCAGGCATCATTCCCAGATCACACAGGCATCCTAAACCAGCCTGCCTCTCTAGGGACATGGGTTCTCAGGGCCAGATGGGGTGGGACACACTGAGAATCCACTGTTCCCCATCATTAAGAAGTCATTCTCTGTACTTTCCCACTACACTCACCCTCCCACATTCAGCAAATATCAATTGCTTTGTGTCTTTATAGATACACATAATCACAAGGCAGGCATAGAAGAGTGGCTAGCTCCAAACTGAGCTATCACCTCAGCCAAAAGCAAGTGTTTCCAAGTTCTAACGAACGATGCGGCAGCTGTTTGACACACATATGTGGTTTTGTGGGCATTCGAAAAAATCCTCAGTGAACACACCCACCCCACCGCACCCCAGTGTCTGCATCCAATGGATTTAGGGAATCACTTGTATCAACTCACAATCAGGTCCAGAAACTCCCAGCTTCCAGAGTGTCTTGGATAGGGTGTTGAGCTGGACTAGAAACCCCACCCTGCACTAATTCCAGGCTAGATATCAAAAGAGCCTTTAATTAAACCACATTCCCAAACCCTACCCCACACCCTTCACAGAAAGGGAATTTGACACTTTACTGACTGAGGCCCTGAGCTGGCTGGCTACTTCATTCGTTCTCTCATCTGTAACCTTATAAAGTTGTTACAGGAATTAGAGATAATGCAATTAAGTGGGTCATACTAATTGCTCATTGCAGCTATTTCATGTCTCTGTAACCTTTTATGTCTGGGTAGATATGTTATTACCTTTTTTTTGGAATTTGGATAGTATTTAGACCCACTGATCCTCCAGGCCATGGGATCTACCACAATCACACAGTTATAGACAATTTAATATTTCTACTTCACTTTACAAAAGGTTCATGCAGCTGCACTCAATTTTCTTCTCTACAAAGCTGATGTATAGATTAATATGTTGCTATCATCAGTACCTATATGTTATGGTTGTGTCTGCATGTCCCCCCAAATCCTTATGCAGTCATGGGGTGGGCTTCTAGATTTTTGATTGATACATAGTCCACTGCTGGCATTATGGGTGTGAGTGCTACACCCGCCCCAGGGCGGGGAGTTTGCATACAACGTAAGGGAGGGAAAGAGGCTGCTGGCTGCTGCTCCCCTCTGGTGCTCTTGTTGTTTTTGCTACCCCCACCCGCCCCCTCCCGCCCATGAACGGCTGCCCTCTGCCATGTGCCACTCTGCTTTGGAGCCAGCCAATATGGACTGAAACCTCCACAGACTGTAAGCTAAATAAACCTTTCCTTCCTTAATTTTGGGGGTCAGGTATTTTGTCTCAGCAATGGGAGAAGAGTAACCAAGATACTATATGTTCTCTCCCATATGATTCACACTTCTGCAAATGACTGTTGAGAGTTTCTTTTAAGCTGAAAGAAAAGTAGGAAGAAAGATGGAGAAAGAAATGTGGCCCTATACTCTGGTTTCTCTTCAGAGCATATACATCTTTTGCCTTTTACTGAAGATTTCTGTGGAGAGGAACAACTCTGAGTCTCAAACCAATTTTTTGAGGTCTTGTTTTGGCAAGGCTACATTAAAACTTCTTTAAAAATAAATATTAAAAAAAATTTTTTTAAAAAATGTGGCCCAATTTAAATCCAGAGGGACCACTGTTATTATGAATCACTTGCCAAATATCACTGTATATATATTGCTGAGTGTCAGTAGACAAGATGGGTATAAGAGATAACTATTCTCTTAGCAAATACCATAGTGGTCTTTAGCTTCTCTATGGAAGTTGTGTGTGATTTTAAAATCTTTTATCTTACCGTTACCTCAAACTGGCACCTTTGTTCTCCTTATCCTGTTATATTTTTCTGCCCAGCATTTCTCACTACGTAAAAGTATACATTCATTCCTGATTATCTGTTTCCGTCTCCCTTGCCCCCCATAAGAGTATATATGCTACATGCAGGTGGCAATCTTATTCATGTCTGAATCTCTCGCACCAGAACTGTGCCAAACACATAGTAGGTCTTTGAGCACTATTTTAAAGGCATGAGTTAGTTTCCTTTTCCTTTCTCCAGTCACCCTATTGCAAAAGGAATTTAGATCTGTGGTCCACTTTTATGTATTTCTTGAATAGGTGACCACCGTGACCCAGTGCAGAAGACAGAGTGTACACGTGATATACGACATGATGCCAAATAATACGAAGAAAATTAGGCAGACTAAAATGGTTGCCTGGGGTAATGCATACTGTGTACCATTCTGATTTTGCCCTTTTGCTATTGTTGAAAGCTGTTTCCCATCAAAAATGTCCTATCTAAATGTTACCCCTTTTTAAAAATCTCACTAGGGAAGTTTCTTCTGAATTACAATGTGACAAGAGATCCCACTGAAGTGATGCTGTCCTAAACTGAGTCATGCTGTGCCTGCTACCAAGCTGCATGTATATACGTATAATTTTCTTGTACCCATCAAAGTATCTACCACATGGTTAGGTTCTTACTAGGTACTCAAAAATCCCTACAGATGAACTAACAGGCTCTCTGAACCCCTCTGCTGCCTGATTCCATTTACACTCCAATAGCATTAGTTTCCTTTTCTTTCCTCTCACACATTCCCTCTGTTAGAGTACCTCTCTAGCTGCGATGGTTTAAAATATTAAGATCCCAGATGACACAGAAAATCATCAGGGCCTTCTGAATTGACAGCAGCATGTCAGAAGGTGGCTGTACCTCCGGATATATACGTCATGAACACATCATCATTCGGGATAGCCCGAATGGGAGAAAGCCATTCAATCCAAGAAACACCTATAGCACTTCAGGTACTGACCTGAACTTCTGAATCAAATTGAGATTTGATGAATCAATTCTAGTTTCTTGAAATGCCACTCAGTATCAGTAACTGATAGCTTCTTGAAACTGTCTACATGACATTTTACTACTGCAGCTAATCCCATATTAGTCTGTGCATAAAACTGATTCATTCCACTTACTAAAATTCTCAGGTTCCCAGGCAACTCAAGGGAATAATGTTAATGACTTTAAGTGCAGGAGTAGGAAACTAAGGTGAGATGTATGGAATGAATTTCACTATGCAAAATATAAATTTTATAATTTAAGAGCCATTACCCCCACCCACTGACTTTATATTATCCCCCCCACACTGAACCCAGAGCCTGCACAATGAGCTACATTTCCAGGTGTTTTTTATTTTTTATTTTGAGACAAGGTCCTGCTAGACTGGAACTGACCATCCTTCTGCCTGTACTTTATACAACCTCATTAATCGCTTTAGAATGAGTCCAAGAAGAAAGTTTTCACCAATGAAAAGTTTTGTTTCAAACAAAACTATGATCTACAGGCAATATTCAGAAGGATATATA